ACCTGTTTGGTTGCTCCCTTTTAGTAATGCATACACAAAGACGACAACATTGTTCCATGGAATGAAAAGACCACCCAGCCTGTACGTTTTATCTCAAGTAAAGAGCAAAATAGTTGAAATATAATACAGATGTTAAATAATTTATGTCAAATAAACAACAGAATAGTTGAAGATATAATACAGTGTTACATAATTTATCTCAAGTAGGCGGCAAAATATTTCTAACAATTCTCAGTTGTTCCAAGCTAGAGTCGGTCAGATGATACCCCGTACATTGCTGCGGAACTTCATAAACACATGATGTAAAACTACAAAGTTGAACCGTAGATGTGATCATAAATTGGAAACAAATAGAACCATAGACACACTGATGGAGTGCGGTTATGCTAACGGACCACTATGATAACTAGTTATAAAATTTATTACACCCATATACTGACCAATAACAAAACTATCCATGAGATAATGTAAATGTATGTTAGTGGAAACACTAAGAAAACAATTCAAGGTGTGATCTCTGTGTCGTCTCAAGTGCTTGTAGCTTAGTTGTTTCCTTGTCGACTGCAAAAATGTAAGGAGGCATGCATGATTAGTAAAATAAAAAAAGCTACATGCAAATTGTAATTTTCTGATGTAGTGATGCATATGTTTCTTGTGGTCCGTTGATTTGCATATATGCATACAAAAATCCTGGCGTTACTGGCAATTTGGGATCAGAGATACTTGTGGTACCGATGGGAGCGGCTCCCAGGGAGGCCGCCATGGTGGTGGTGGCGATGGCGCCGGCACACGCAGGCTCGCCGGAGGGCATGGCCGGAGCAGGGACAGTCGTGGTTGGCGGTTGCCACCCATGGACGCTACGCCGGTGGCCCCACCGCGCCTGCCTTCTTATGCCAGGGACAGGATAATGATCAGGCCTTTCGCTTTTGACCATTTGACTGGACGCGTGGAGGAATAGCGTGGCACCGGCCCGTTGGAACATTCGAATGGGGGACAGGATGGGGTTGTGATAGGCGCTTTGAATCAGGTTGCCCCATCTTTGGATGTGGCACCGACCAATCAGGGCTTCTTTGATTCAAAGGAATTGCATAGGATCTTTGGAGGATTTGAATCCTTAGGAATTTTTCCTGTGATGCTCGTTTGATTCGTAGGATTGGCATCCTTAGGAATTTTTCCATAGGATTCATTTGTACTACATTTTGGAGGAAAATTTTCATCCACTCAAACCTCTTTGTAGGATTCCTTTGTTTTTCCTGCGCTATCAAACATTCTTTGAGATCCTGTAGGATACTATGGGACATGTCATCCTATTCCTGCATTTTTCCTATTCCTTCATTGTGACAATCCTGCGAATCAAAGAGGCCCTCAGCATGTGCGCGTACAAAGCGAGGCGGAAGCGGTGCAGCAACCGAGGAGGATGCTGGCATCCATTGTCACAATCCCATCCCCGACGCGAGATACGGTCGTGGATGATGTGATCCAGCTGGTTGATCAGGCTGGTCATAGTGGGAGTAACATAGGTAGTAACATAGATGCCACATAAGCAAAAATAATGATGTGGCAAGTAGTTAATGAGGAGAGAGGCAAATAGAGTAACATAATATGTTACCATCACATAGCGGTTTCCAATGCATAATGAGTCTACAAAGTAATAAATGAAGGCAACTATATTACCACACCTATGACACTACCCACTATGAAGGTAGTAACATAGACTAGTAACATATGTATGTTACTAGTCTAAGTTACTCCCCACTATGACCAGCCTCAGAAGCAGGACAAGGATGTGGGTGGTTTAACACACCGGGCACAGGATCCCACCACAATGGGGGGCCAATGGGTGTCGCGATCCGCGCGCCGGGCGGATTGGAGGATTGTGGAGATGGGGCCATGCATGCTGATGATCTAGGCATGAGTGCGGACCATGTGGGTCCGGATGCGGCTAGCCAAGAGGCTCGCGGGGATGGGACCGATTTGGATGTGACTGAGGCCGCGTCCCTGGGGCAGCTGGGAACTGATTCCCAGGTGCAGGTGTGCGGCGACTTGGGGGACCCGCCGACGCTAGCTGTGCAATCGAACATTGGTGTGCATTCCTCGGAGAAGGAGCCACCCATGCAACCGGCCCCCACCATGATTGGGCTGCATGCATCGGGGGATGAGCAATCCATGCAACTAGCTTGCATGCCACGTTCTGGCGAGGACGTGCAAGGGATGACCCCGCTGGAGGCTGCCGCATACAGCAAAATGAGGGCGTTTTGCACGAGCATAATACAGAAGTTGGCCCCACCTTTGATGCGGGAAGTGCAGGCCACACAGCTACGCCCCCAGACTGAGCCTTATACACCACGCCCAGCCACCAGGGTTGCGAAGAAAAACGGCACAAAACCCATCCAAAGCAACGCCGGCTGAGAATGTGCTACTAAAAGTACTTGGAGTTCGTACGGATGATCTTCACGTGGACGAGGATACGGTGAAAGGCCTCAGGGAGCTGTTCGACTCTTCTTTGAGGGAACAACACGTAAGGATCTTTGCAGCAATCTTCGGAAAGGAAATGCTACACAGGGAAGAATTGGAGAGGGCAAACACGACGGTCGTACTCACACGCTGAGAGGGCTCTTGTGCGGAGGATGGGTGTTGGTGATCATCTTGCCGATGGATCACAACCTGGAGATTCTCTGCTGGAATGTGCGGGTTTTAAATAACCCGGCAAAAAGAAAGGCGATTAGGGAGATCGTCGTCTTGACAAAAGTTAACGTGGTGTGTCTGCAGGAGACAAAACTCAATGTAATTGATCAATATGATGTTATGCAATGCATAGGGCCATCCTTTGATGGTTTTTGCTTATTTGCCAGCGTCGGAGACCCGTGGTGGCATCCTTTTGGCTTGGGACTCCAGTGTGGCGTCCATGGATAATGTGGTGGCCGATACTTATTGTATCACTGGCAGAGTGACTACAAAGGAGGGGAACATGTGGTGGTTTACCGGAGTTTACGGGCCACAGGGGGTGAGGATAAAGCTGCATTCCTAGAGGAGTTGAGCGCACGAAGAGCTTTGTGCCCAGGACAGTGGGTGGCCATGGGGACTTTAGCATGATTTTACGAGCAAGTGGGAAGAATAACACGAATCTCAATAGGAACATGATGAACAGATTTAGGTCGTTCATTGATGACCACGAGCTCAAGGAGCTCTATATGCATGGAAGGAAGTTCACTTGGTCAAATGAGCGAGACAATCCAACACTCACCAAGATTGATCGTGTCCTCGCTTTGGTAGATTGGGAGCTGCACTACACGGACAGTTTGCTTCATGCCATGTCGACTGGAGTCTCTGATCATGCCCCGCTACACCTGGCCACTAGTGCCATGTGCAACCCAAAAAGGCGCTTTTGTTTTGAGATCTTTTGGGCTAAGTTGGATGGGTTTGAGCAAGCCATTGGACAAGCTTGGGTGTGTGATCAGGCGATCGTCGATCCCTTTAAGAGGCTAGATGCCCTGCTTAGGAATGCAGTTGTTGCGTTGCAAGCTTGGGGGCAGAGGAAAGTTGGGAACGTCAAGCTGCTCATGGCGGTGGCCCACTGGATCATTCTCATGTTCG